ATGTGAGTTCATGTATTTATACCTCACAACAAAATGGGATAACTAAGAGAAAGAACAGACATCTCCTTAAGGTATCACACCCAATTATAATGCCCCATCAAATTTTTATATATTTTTTGGGAGAAATAATTGTTATTGCAACATACTTTATCAATTGAATGCATAGCGGAGTACTTCAAAACACATCTTCATGTTTTGATGGTTACTTATCTTCACATTAGAACTTTCTCTTTTACTATCCCACTTAAAATTTTTAGGTATTTATCATTCATTCACAACCATTCTCAAAATCCGACAAAACATGACCCTAACTTCATCAAGTGCATTTGTTCTTGGGTATGTAGCCAACCAAAAAGAATATAAGTGATACTCTATACCTGGATGTCATACTTTTTTTAAATTGATCCTATTAGCTCAAATTTAATGTTCAGAGGGAAAGTGTGAATGCACTTGATGACACCTACATAGCGTCGCCACCTACTCCACCTAGCCCTCCTATCCTGATTGAGAATGCCCAACCAACCCAACCTAAGTCTTGAACAAAGAGCTTTATGTGGACACAAGGAGGAAAAAAAACTTTGAGCAGTTGAAAGATAACTTGCAAAATAGACTTACTCAAAACAAAGCCCGAGTCCACATTCACCTAAAATTTCAGGTAAGGAGTTTAACTCTCATGAGTTAACCCATTCCTCTTCTAATGATGGTGATTAGGAAAGCTAAATTAGATCTCTAATTCAGGAGTAAAAAGCTTATGAAAACTTATCCTCATCATACAAAACTTATGCAAATTCTTAAATCCATTCTTGAAGCTCTTGAAAATCTCGAATGGGAAAGAACAAATGAAGAGTAGATTCAAACACCAAACTAAACTCTCTCAAGATAAGAAGTGGTTGGGAGCAAATGGGTGTTCAACATCAAATACAAACCTGATGGGAGTATAGAGAGATTCAAAGTCAGACTTGTTGCAAAAAATTTCACACAAGTTTATGAGATTGACTATCAGGAAATCTTCGCACTAGTTGTCAAGCTTAACACTATCAAAGGTCTTTCAGTAGAAGTTAAGAAGAAATTGGGACTGTATCAACCTGACAAAAAAAATGTCTTCCTGAATGGGGATCTGGAAAAAGAAGTATATATGGAGATATCACACGGAGTTAAAAACAATTCTAATAAACACCTAATATGCAAACTCAAGAAGCCTCTTTATGGGTTTAAGCAATCACGAAGAGTGTGGTTTGAAATGTTTGCAAAAACTATGAGATTTAATTAATATTCTCAAATTCAAGCTGATCATACTCTATTTGTAAAACAAACTCGGGGAGATAAGATTACTACATTGATAGTATATGTGGATGATATGATTCTTACTGGTAATGATGAAAAGAGATTCTCAAGATAAAAAAATGTGCTTATCATGGAATTTGAAATCAAGGGCCTACGAACCATGAATTATTTTCTAGGTATAGAAATGACAAGATTCAAAAAAGACATCGTTATGTCACAAAGAAAATACATTCTAGATCTACTAAATGAGACATGGATGATTGGATGTAAGCCTGTTGATACTTCAATGGATCCCAACTAGAAGTCAAAGAGGGGCCAAGAAATTGTCTCTATGGATGAGGAAAGATATCAAAAATTGGTAAAGCAGTTCATCTGTTTCTCACATACGATGCCAGATATTACATACTCTGCTAGTATTGTGATCCAACACATGAATTACCCAAATGCATATTACTTGAAGAAGGTGTACAGAATTCTAAGATTTCTCAAGAAGACTTCCAATTATGAATTATTTTTTGAGAAAATAAGGAACAGAGAGGTGGGAATCTACATTGATGTTAGTTGTGTTGGAGAACTCATTAATAAAAGGTCCACCACAGGTTACTACTCCTATGTGTGGGGAATCCGGTAACATGAAGAAGTAAGAAGCAAGTGTTTGTTTCTAGAAAAGGCATTGAATCAGAGTATAGGGCAATTAGGAACCGGGATGTACCTCCAATAAGCCTAAACATATGTATTGTGACGGTCAAACAACTATCAGTATTGCAAAAAATCTTGTGCATCATGACAAGACCAAACATACTGAAATCGATACACTTCATTTCTTAAAAGGTTAATGAGGGTATTATACAGTTAAGCTATATCCCGACAAATCAACAAGTTGTTGATCTCTTCACCAAAACTCTTCCCTTAATAACCTTCTCAGAGTTCAATACTAAGATTGGTCTCTACAACATCTATGACCCAACTTGGGGCATAGAAAATTGAGAAGATTCTAGAAGATTTCATTGGGACATCTTAAGAAAATCTTCATTAGTTTATTTTATTCCGATGCTAAGTTATTTTATTTATTATTTTAGAATTATTTCCTTTCCTAATTTAGGTTTAATATATTTGGTAAGTTTGAAAATTAGGAGAGATTACTTTCCATATATATATATTATATATATGTACCTTGCACGTGAATAATAAGAATCAAGAGAATTATTCCTCTCCAAACCTGTTTTCTACAAAAGAGTATACAAATTTAAAACCTAAAGCTAGATAAACCTTAAAATCATCTAATTGAAAATAAAGATAAGTTAAAACCATAATTGAAATAATACAAGAATATTCCAAAATTAGATAGAATTATTTTTTGTGTCGTTCAGTATGTAGCATATACTTCATATTTAAGTAAAGCTTATGGTTATATTGTGAAAGATGTACTAAATGTATCAAAGTTATTAATATAACCCAAAATTCTAGAAGGTAATTGTTCAGAGTTGGTGGAAATTTCGGGTTATAATCGAGTCGAGTATGACTTGGATTGAACTTGATTTAGCTATAATATAGGTTGATCATGTTCGGCTTGAACTTGAGCCGAGCTTTCACATCTATGTTGATACTTGACTTGATTAAAGTGTTTAAAAATCGTCCGTAGGCTTGTACTTAATAAGTATATATTAATTGAACAAGTATTCTAACGAACAAGTGAAAAGTAAAATTAATTCTTGATTTTTCATATAAAATTATTAATAAAGGATTTCAAAAATCTAAATAAATAAGCAATCGAATAAATTTTGAATTAGTACCTATCTAGTTTACACAAATTAAATAACATAACAATAGATTGCAAGTAAATTCTCTTTCAATCAAAAAGTATAAATACGTACTAACAAACTATTTCATTGAAATAAAGAAATAAAAAGGAATGGTATTAAATTACAATGCATTTTAACATTAAATTATAATATATTACTTCAAAATATATAATTAAATAAGTTCTAATTAATCAAATTTTATTTAAATAATATATCGTATATAATATAAACTATTATCAAATTTACTAATAGAACATTTAACAAGTTACTTGTTAACAATAAATAAGATTATTCGTGAATATAAATAAATAATCTAGACCGTGATTAATATTGATTCATTTATCCTTCGAGCTTTTAAAAAAAAAGTTAAAACTTGTTTCACTTACTAATATGAGCATTCTTAATCTAGAATTAATCGAGCTAAATTCAAGATGTTTATCGAGTGCATTGGTTCACTTACAGCCCCAAGTGGAATTTCTCCAATCTACTCAATGAGTTAATCTCATTGACCTTATAATAGTGTCATCAGACAAACTCAAAACTGACAACAAGCAAGATTAACACTCCTATATTGGGAGGCAGTGCTTTCATATTTGCATCACTGAAATTTGGATTTACAATTCAACAAAAGCTCTTTTACAAGATAGAAATTGCTAAGACAAAGGTTTAAGAGGAAAGTACACAGCTACCCAGACTAAAACATCGCAAATATAACAAATGTCGACAAACCGAACCTGTTCAAAGAAAGTAAGCTTACCGTACAACTCAATATGATACCATTGAGAAGCACGAGCAATTGTTGTAATCATAAAAAGCTCCATAAGAGCAGAAATGCTCCAGAACATACAGATTACTATTGGAATTCCTTTTGTCATGAAGGGAAAAGTGTGCAACGAGATTGAAGAATAACAGAAATTTTGAACTGCTTAATATGACCAATTTTAAACAAAATTAGGGGCATTTACATAAATACCATCCAATTCTTATATATTAAATATCTAACATCTAAATTTTACTTTTTACATTTATACACCTCTTAATGATAAGTAAGGTGGCATGTATGTAAAATATTAAAGTTTAGGCGTTAGACATGTAAATATATAGAAATTGAGTGGTATGTACGTAAATCTTTCTAAAATTATCCGATTAGTTTAGCTGGGCCGTATCGAAAACAGCTTGTCAAGAGAATGGATTACGTTCAAGTGACTAGTGATTGCATCTAATATTCAGAAGAGTGTGATAGAGCTAAAAAATATAACTAACAAGAGTTCAGAATAAATGGTTAGGAAGAAAAAAAATGGCTCAAGAGTATTATACAATAACAAGATATCATAAAATTAAATTCTATTAAACTACAATAAAACAAATTGTATTGTATGCATATGATGTGTTGCGTAGTTAAAAAATTCAATGAAAGCTAAAATGACAGTGACAGAAATGATTATTAAATGAAAAATAAATTAGAAATGATAATACTAGAGAGATGATTCGAGAACAATTTATTGAAAATAATGCAACTAAAAAAAAAAGTTTGGTTATTTCGACAAGTAGAACAAGCATACAATAGTCAATTACATTAAATTAGTGTAAAAAAATTAAGGGAAACAGGATAAAACTAAGATAACATGGATAGAAATTGCTTTAAAATTATTTGCAAAGAAAATGCTGAACATTTCATGCAAAGCTTAATAGTAACAAAGAAAATGAGTCCTAAAGCTTATACCAAATGGTTAGATATCTAATGATAATTATAATATTTCACTGCATTAAAAATCAAATATTTCAAACCTAGCAGCCACCAAATATAAAAGAAAAGTATCTAAAAATAATAACGAGAGCATGCAAAGAGTAATGTATGAAATTAAAAAAACAGAATAAATAGTTTGTGTTGAATAATAATAAAATTCTTCGTACCCTAAGTGTGTAGGTTGTTCCAGGCCTAAAGGTCACATCCGGTCTAAATTTATAATCATCTTCCTTAACCTCATCAGTAAAAGCAAAAGTATTAGCTGCTTTCTTCAATTTTGAATCCATACCATCTGAGAGTGTATTAAAACTTTCATCTTGAACATCCATAAATCGTGAATTGCCGCCATCATTGTCTTTTAAGCCATTAAAAGATCTTCCATGAGCTTGCTCGATTTTGTCTAGCTTCCGAAAAAATGAACCAGATTCTGCATTGTTGCCTACATCGCCAAATAGACGACGCTCAAAATCATCTCCACTCTCAAAAAAACTATTATTGTTATTTTTTCCGCCATTCTCTGTAAGGGCACAAGCAGCACATTAGAACTGCAAATAAATAAATTGGGGCATTTTACATTTATACACCCAAGTACGTAAATACATAGCAATTGAGCGGTATGTATGTAAACCTTCTTAAATTAAAATGAGTCATGAAACAGAACAACGTTATGACAATTTGATTGATAGGAAAAATAAAATTACAAATAAAATGATCCCCCTGCCATAAAATAGTTGGCACCATTGTATAATATAAATTACTGAGTAGTCAACCAAAAAAAATTAAAATGCTATCCTTTTGTTGTTCAACAAGTAACACAATTCTCTGGTGGTATGAAAAACAAAAAATCTGCCACAGGATTCAAGAAAAAAAATCAATATTCATATAGCAGACTCCAGAGCAATAATCCTCCCATATCCATCATCTCATAAACATAAGAGAATGAATGTTTATTCTGTATAAGAAAGATAACAGTTTACTAAAGAAATGGACCATGGATGAGCTTTCATTTGGATTGAGAGGCATTTAGCTTTATTCTATCATTATGTTCGTCAAAAACGTTACTCTGTTGTACTTTTTAAGACATTGTAACCTGGCAGGTTCCCCATTGTAATAGAGGAACCAAAAACTACTTTAGCTTTTGACAAGAGAATGGGTGCAGGACTAAAGTAAAAAAAAATTAAATATTTAAATGATAAAATTACAAACTTTTAAACCAAAACTCAAAAAACACTCATCAGATTGATCTAACAAAATTGAATGAGAAGAAAAGCTGTCCTATTAAACTCATCCTCATCAAATAGTTTGGATATGATAGCTTCCTTCACAGAATAATAGCCAACTTAGTTCTAATCGGCGACCCCTTTGCCAAATTTAAAAGAAAATTATCTCTAAACATATCATCTCAATGTTCTTCGAAGAAAAAAAGAAATTCATTAAAAGCATTTATTGTAAACATGAAAACAAATCTAAGCTCCATCACGTATTTTATTCTCGCAAAAAAAAATGAAAGATGAAAGAAATCATGATTGTGAATGAATTTGACATCACCTATGTCCGGAAGGATGGAAGTTAAAATCAGAGGAAATTGGTCTTTGATCACAACTTGTCCCCCATTTATGAGTTGGGGAATTCAAAGGCTCTAGAAACTTCTAACTTAAAGTCGCCATCAATCTCAAACTCCCTACTCATCAACTTCATATTGCACTTTGTTAGAATGGATGAAAATGACTAATTTACCATAGTAAGGTTTTTTAAAAACATGAGAAGAGCATTAGTCATTTGGAAATAAAAAGTGGTCCAAAAGAAATGAAGAAGAGCATGCAAAGTTCAAATGAATGCACAAAGGTTTATTGTACGAGAAAAGTCGTGAAAGTTGAAGTATTAGAAATTGTGCATCATGAACATCAACCACAAAAAACAATTTTGCGTTATTTGAAATTTACATAGATATAGTGATCAGTTTTTCAGGATTTGGTAATCAATTATGCCTAAATTGAATGACAAATCAAGATGCTCATGAATTCTATGCAACAAATCAAAAGATAAAATCATTGACCATAGTTTAAATACCCACAAATATTGCAATTAATCACTTTGTCAAAAAATTGGACTTTACAAGAAATAAATATGAAAAAAGTTACAAACAAAATTATCTCATGACCTGCCAAAAAGAAATAAGCACGCATAAAACAAAATTAAACCCTAAAGATTGAAAAATAATAATATTTCTAAGGAAAATATCACTTTTTCCCACAAAAAAAAGAATGCCTAGTTTGAAAGGGGGATGATTTGGAGAAGTTGGCATGTTCTTGAACTCAGCAAAATATCCACGACAAAACAAGTAATGCAATAAGAGCTTGTAGCCAACCAGAAATTGGTTTTTTGGGGATTTGGATCAAATTTCCTCTAAAAAATAGTAAACTTTACCATTTCTTCCAAATCAACCTTCTCGACTTCTCTAAAGAGGTGAAGTTGAACAAGTTTCTCGATATTCTTTACCTTTACAAGTGCAAAACTAACTTGAAGAGTAAGAACAATCTCCTTTAAAGAATCAAAATTCTTGAGCAAACCCTCGAACCTACATATTAAAACTAAAGCGACTAACTCAACACTTGGTAACTTTAAATTTGACATTACAATGGATACCCAACCAAATCTTTATCGTACGCTTCATAGCTCGATTCTTCTCTCATATCTTTACTCTTAGTAGAAGGAACCTCAGCAGGATCTTTACCTCTTTGGCCAATAGCAACTTCTATATATTTGACCCCTTCTAATGAGTTCAAAAAGTCAAAAACTTGCTTGTGGGTACGGCACTACGCAAAAATAAATCAGAACTATTGTTAAATAAAATTTTTTTATAGCTCCATCCATGATGATCCAGGTACAAAAGAACAACAACTAACATCCTTCTCTGGGAGAGTTCTCACAAGAGGAGCACATATTGTAGTCTCTACAATCATGATTTCATCTTTCTTACCATTATTGATTTCCATAATTGTTTCCTCAATCTTCTTCAAACATTGAAAATAGGATTCACTAGAAGCTCTATATTTCTCATACCTTAAAGCTCAAACAACATTACAGAGATCTCTCGACTGATATGCCATGTAATTTTCTCAATAGATACAAAAAGTTAATAGACAACTCTCTAAAGAATGCTCAAGGGTTCTGATATAGTAAAAAACTCAACAGATTCGCTACCGATCATATAAGAGTAAGCACAAAAAATTAGCAAAATTAGGATCACTCAAATCAAATTGAATTAGAATTTTTATTCCCATACTCTTCCTAGTTCCACAAAAGAGAAATGAGATTCGGGGAGCTAATAAAAACCAATAATCATTTGGGTAAGGTTCAACAAGTCATCTCAATTAGGTTAACAAGTTGCTAGTTAAACCAAGTAGCCCATATAAGCAGTTCCTCAAGTTGCCTCAAACTCAACCATTGAGCTTGGCTATACAGTACTCAACACTTGAATTTGGCCTACTCAACTCTAAGAGGCAAGGTAGTTGCCAATAAAGATTTCAACTTGGCCATCAACTAAACCTAAACTCGCCTATACATTCAACATAAAACTGTCTTACTAAGTCACCAAAGCTACTCACCAAACTTGTATGAAATTCTGTGTGAAGTAACAATGAAGTCTTATCCTAAGAGATAAACTTAAGAGTTCAACCAGAGATAACTATGCAATTAGATAGCTATACTTATTCATATTTAAACCAAATATTATTAAATAGGAACATATAACTTTACTTACATTTGCTCAAATGTAATCCTTCGCTTGCGTTGAACCTCAATCTAAGCTGATAAATAAGAGATTTGGGAAAATCCCAACAAATTTATTAATAACAACATTTAATACTTTCCAAGGGGATGTTTCGCTGCAAGTAGGATTTAGGGTCAGCGAGATTTAATAAATTCGTGAATCGTAAATCTGTTGACTCCACTCAAACCTCTGGATATAGTAAATCCAGATTTAAACCAAATTGAAGACAAATTTTGGGACTCTAAATCCACAGAACTCCAGAGTTTTAGGACATTGGCTGGATTTAGTAAATCCGGTGATAAATCCTATAAAAAGGAGCTACCAAACACCTCCTAAGCAATATATTGAAATCCTAGAGCTCCTCTCACTGAGCTCTCAATCTCACTTCTCTCTTCTCTCCTGTAGATTAGCAAGTTCTGATATCACCCAAGGATAACTCAGAGCCCAACAGAAGCTGTAGTCACCACTCCCAAAATCTTATACCTGACCTAGCATGTGAAATTTATACCCTACAAAAAGGAAAAAATATTCAGAAAATGTAACTTCCTAGCAAACAGCGTCCTTTTTCACCTATCTGCAAGCAGTTTCACCAAAATTATTACAGCAAAACGAAAAAAGAAATGATGGAGATTGATGTAAACCTAACCATAGATACTTTCAATGTAGGCAAAAAATGTTGAAGGCATAATGAGCAATAAATACCTCTAATTAATAAAGTAGAAACGGCGGAGAGAAAAATGCCGAAACATACCACTGCTGAATGAGCGAAATCTCAAGGAAGAAGAAAGATCGGAGCAGCAAAACCGGAAGATGCTGCGGCTATTCACAGTTATCGCCCTCATCGTTTATCTACAGCCAAGGTAGGATCGAGCAGTAGAACGACGGAGAGGTTTTCTTTCCAAAAATTTTCTGCGCCCCACTTATTATTTTTGAGTTATTTCTGTTTATTTCATCATTATTAAAAAATAACCTAAAAATAATCTGAAATCTGATTAATAACTCAGGAATATAGGTTGGTGTTGTTCCGCCCTAATTGTAAGGAAAATGCAGGGGTTTATGCTGCTTTCGGGTTCGCCTCCATGATGAGGTGTATAAAAAAATGGGTTATTTGCATAACTAACATTCAAAATTTTAATATTGATATTTAAATTATCTTATTTATGTATTAAAAAACTAATGATAATATGAGGAATGTTTCGAGTGCTATATATTTATAATTGTCACTACTTTGAGTGATATTTTAGATTTGAATATTATAAATATAAAATTAAATCTTAGATGTTAGATATGAAATAATAATAGTGCAAGTGAGCTAAGTTGATTTGTGTGTTTTCTTGGGCTCGACTCTATAAGTGGTTTCTGAACTGAGCTCAATGAGCAAATGTCAAGTTCAAGCTAGCCCTAGCTCGACTCGTTAGCTCGCGAGAGTCTGTTTTAAGAAATGATTAATATAAAATATATTTTAAATGCATTAAAAAAAATTCTTTAAATTATTAATGATGTTTAAAATATGATATTTTACATTTTAGAACAAGTGATTTTTTTATTAATTATCCTTTAAATACTCATATATTTATCATTTCATTATAATACTAGCTTAAATTTATATATTTTCTCTCTTTATTATCAAAAAACTGACTCATGAGTTAGATTATTAATTAATCAAGCTCAAGCTCAAACTGAGACTTAAGCTCAAGTAGACTAGTTTACATGCCTTGTTAAATACGTAAATGCCCCAAAGAAGTACATATATAAATTTTGCCGTGTGATGGCACGGTAACTCGACTAATTCCAAGGCACCTCAATTGTTTATTTTAATTTTTTATTTCTTAATAATTTTTATAGGTTTGATTTTCACCATAAATATTTATTATTTATGTAACCCTTTATTTTAAATTATTATTGATGTGTGTCGTAAGGTTTGAGGTGCTAGAGTAATAAATTATTGTCTTAGTATTGCACAAAAACTCAACACACGCTCAAGTAATTAAAAAGAACTAAGTAGGAGAAGATACCTTAAGATTTACGTGGAATTAATCAACAATGAATGGTGAAAAAATCACAGGGTGTAGCTCAATTAAATTAATCAACTATGAGTGTTTAACACGCAGGTCTATTTTTCTCCTGAATTAAAGAAAATGGAGTTATAAAGTTGTGATTATAAATGTATAACAACTATTCATTGATAATAATGGTAGTATGACTACAATAAATGCAGTTCTCGATGATAACATGCTATAAGAGTCGTAATCGACTGTTATGGAGGCAATACTCCACCATGAATGTTAGTGATGATGATTGTAGTGTCAATTTGTTAGGTTGTAGTTGAAAGCCATGACAATAGTTAACTTTGCGGACCACGGATGGTTACTTTATGAGCATCAATTGGCTTCATAGGTTAAGGTAGGAAGCTACAAAAGATGTGAGCCACACAGGTAGTAGTTGATCACATAGGTCATAGTGGTGGAAAAATTATTACATTCGAATGAGATAGGTGTGAATTAGGTGAGAATGTTGATAAATTGTCACAAAAAATAGCAGTTGTAGCTACGAATTTTGAACATAATAATAGCTCGTAGTCGTGAGCTATGATAATGTCTGTAATCCACAGGATTCAAGGTCGAGAGTTGCAATGACTTTCGTTGACCACAAGGTTCGAAGTAAGGAGCTGTATGAGATGTGAGTCACGTATGTCGTAGTTGGTCATATAGACTATAGTGGTGAGTTGTGATGATTTCTGTAAGCTGCAGGCGTCGGAGCCGGGAGTTCCGCGAGCTATAACTCACGTGGGTTGTAGTGGTGATCTATGATGACGTCGGTGGGTTGCATGAGTCGGTGTTAGGAGCTTCAAAATCTGTGAGCCACACATATCATAATGGTGAGCTATGATGAGATTGGTAGGATGCATAGGCTAAAGTCGGGAGTTGCCCGAGCTATAAGCCACAAAGGTTGTTATTGCCCACATAGGTTGTGGTGTAAGCCATAAGGAGAGAGCTTTAAGAGCCCGATGAAAGTCAACGTCTTCGAACTGCATTGTTACACAATTTTCTGGAGACATCGTTGCACCGTATGTGGGTTGCATTGTTACACTGTCATCGAGGTGTGTCGTTGCATCGTATTTAGAGTGCGTTGTTACACCATCTTTGGGAGGTATCATTGCACCATATGTAGAGCGCGTTGTTCTGCATGAGACCACATTATCATGCATTTTGTGTTAGGATTTTGTAACATACATCATGATTCAACAAGGGGTTTCATTGTAATGAGTCAGGGGTGGGCTATAGTGACTAGGGGTCATGGTCAGCAATGGTCGGTGATTATAGGAATGGGAGGTATTAGACAAATTTGCAGTGTAGAAGCGATATTGAACTTCAGCTCCTTCAAGTTTAAGTCTTCTTCTGACTCAATGTCTCTCATCCTCTGAAGAGAGGGGGTATGCCTCTATTTATAGAGCCTGTGAAAGGTTTCTTTACAAATTAAGAAAAAATTCAGACCATTCCATCAGATGGTTCAAAAATATTTCCTCGATCAGAGGCATTCGGTGAACATTTGAGTACCTTAATGACTCAAAATATTGATATTTTAGATTCGTTTGATTTGTCTTGCTAAGAACTCAATTTTACTATAAGCTTGTTAGATTTGAAATATGTTTGACATTTCAATCATGTACCAAAAGCTTCCAAAAGTGGTTTGACGACTTGATTTGACTCAGATTGGACTAATTTTGGTTTTATTAGATCCTTCTCATCAAGTCGATGGGTTTGACTACAAGTTTGCTGAAATTAGAATTATGAATGATATTAATCAAAGTTTGAATATTTCTTGTTAAAGAAGTTGTCCTAAGATTTGTGTTACTCGAGATTCATGTTTGATGATGGGAATTTGTTCAAGGAGTATCGATTATTATGCCTCTACATTCTATAAACCCTTATCAATACATCATTCTAATTAGTGCACTTATTTTAAAGAAAATATTTTATCAACTTATTATGAATATTATCATAATTTCTTCAAAATTATAGCATTCATTCATTTATAATATTACTAAATCTTACCTATTTACAAAACTAACACTCATATTATTTTTTTTTAACAATCAAACTATTATAATTATGCATGATATGATTAAAATATTGAGAATTGTTGAACCCAAAGTCTGGGAAACACGCTCAAGCAATAGAACATTCGGCTCTGAAGTGATTAGGGAGAAAAATAGAGAGATAGAGAGAGAGAGAGAAAAAAAGATAGAGAGAGAGCAGTAAAAAGAGTGTTTTTATTCATGACATGGACCCCTATTTATAGGCCTGGGTCACAACATTACAAAAGTACATATTAGCCCCCTCATCATTAACTTTTTAGAGGGACATTTTTGTAATTGCAAAGTTATTTGTGTATAAGAAGCCCGGTGACAGATTCAATCGATGAGGATTATCGATCATCTGGTAAACCTTGACTCAATCGATATCTAGTTCAAAAGAGTGCTTCTCGTCGATCGTTCTAAAGGTTGATTATCACTCCGCTTGAGCTTCTCCTAACGCCTGCCGTGGATTGTTCGAATAAGACGCTTCTTTTGCTTATATTTAGCCAAAAAAATTATCGTTGAAGGCTATGTTCGATCGGTCACTGTTATGGTATGGCTCATATACCATATAGGGACAGATGCTGGAACGAAGCAGAGCGGAGCGGAGCGAAAGAATCTGTCCAAATTGGGAAGTTACGTTATATGGGTTGGGGCTATACGGTACAGGGGTAATTTAGGAATTACATATTGTACTGCAGGGCTTACTCTAGGATTATAAATAGACCTGTTTGTAATCCTAAGTCTTCGAGAGAGTTGAATTTTGTATTCTGTATTCTTTTCTGAATATTGAAAAGGAGGTCGTCGCTCTGCTCCCGAGGATGTAGGCATCTTTGCCGAACCTCGTTAAATCTCTGTGTTCTTCTGGATTTGTGTTGTTACTGTTTTTCTTCGCCCTAATTTTTTCCATTTTCTCAACAAGTGGTATCGGAGCCTGGTTCGAGGGGAAGAAAATTTTCTTCGGCGGCGCAAGAAGAAATTTGGTGGCGAGGTTTTACGAATCAGAGCTAAGGTTCTCGGACTCCGCGATCTCTGTGGAGAGGGAGTTTGGGGCAGTTCCGATTTGCCGGAGATTTGCCGGAGAGGAGTTCGTGCGGAAGGGAACCGGGCAGCGCTTGAGGCAAAGTTGTTCGCAGACGTAGCTGAGAGAAGTTGTTCGTCGCCTGGGCGGACGGTTCGAGAGTCGTTGTTCGCGGAGGACATCGCAATTCTCAACAGGAATCGCAGGAAGCGCAGACGTTCGCGGTTAGAGGAGTTCACGTGCATTATTGCCTCTTCTGCAGGCAAAGGCGGAGGCTTCTGCGCGGCAGAAGGTTCGTTCGTGAATCGCGGATAAAGGACTGTCGCAGAGCCAGATTCGCCGGCGACGGCAAGCTTTGGACGCAGGAATACGGAGAAAGAAACAAAATTGGAAGGGAAGGAGAATATTGGATTTTTAATTTCTTCCTGGGTTCCAATTTCTGGGAAAGGAAAGGAGAATATTTAATTTCCTTTCCTGGGTTCCGATTTCTGGAAAGGAAAGGAGAAATTTTTCCTGGGTTTCGATTTCCAGAAAAAGAAAGGAGTTCAATTGTGCACGGAGAAGGAAGGGAATCAACCCAGATTTGTTTCCGTTTGCTTGGCCTGAATTGCCGCTAGTTCCGTTTCAGTAATTTCGAATTTGGTTTGTTGAAGAAATTGGAAGCTTTGTGCTGCGGAGACCGAACATTCCTTCGGAGGCAGGAAGCAAAATCGGAAAGTCCCGATTATCTTGGGAGGTGATTCAAATTTCATTCCTTCGCAGGAGCGAGCGGAGAAAACTGTGGAAAATTTAATTTGGAAGATTCTTCAAATTTTACGGTATAGCG